TTTTGTGCTACAAAGAAATGTCTTTACAAGGGTCAGGCCACTAAGCGAAAAACAATTTGATATAAGTGAAAAATGAAGCTAGGATAATTTCACACTTGGCAAATGGTTGCTTTACAAAATACAATTTTCTTAGGTCCAAAAGATTATGAAAGAAATTAATTTTGAAAGCCTTATATTTCATCACCTCCACTGCTGGAACGTGAACCATGGATAATTTGTTTGGGGCCTACAAAACGATTGTGGAGAAAGAGCGAACTGCATGGAAAGATGCCAATGTTCTAACAGGTGCAGCTGTTAAAAACTTTTTTACTCAGTACACAATAAGCATACACAGTTACAGGAAGCAAAAAGACAAACTGACGATCACACATAATATATTATAATGCATGCAATGTCGTGTTAACACCAGCCAGAGCCAAATCCTTGCTTGCTGGAGAAAACCTGTTTTGTGCAATTGAAGTCAATAAGCAACAGAGAGAGGGGAGCATGAGAAGCAAAGAAGCAGGTGGGCCCTTCACACTTTCCAATATCAGCCCAGCCCTGATCCAATAGAAACACCATTAGAGTAAGAAGCTTGAAAAATTATCATGGTTGATTTAAAGTAGGGAGCAGCTCAAACACATTTCAGCTCATGGGGGAAAAAAGAGAAAAAAGCATGCAACAATCACACTTAAAATTCTTTATTCTACTAATTTCAAGTATGGAAACAAAAGGTTTTGGAGGCAGCATTCTGGACTGACTCAGAGGAAGGAAATATTAACTTAAGGTAGCTCAGGGTAAATGGCATTTTCTCATACAGACGCTCTGTTAAAACTCTTTGAAAACTTATGTTACTCATTTTGCATCAAGGAGAGCAGCTGCCTTAGCTGGAAAGCATAATAATATCTCTGTATGTTATACCTTAATTGCATCATCTCTGGACGCAGGTCCAGAAGAATCATGACAGACTCCCCTTCACATGAAACTGAGGAAAACTATCATAGTCCTTTCCAGGTGGCCTTTTTTGCTGGAGACTGGGAAAAACACATACCTTCAATATGAGGTATGACAGCACTCGAAAGGTTTAGGTGACAGGGTCTTGAGCACACTGTCAAAATTATGTAGCTGATAAATCAGGTAAGCTTTTTGCAAAGTACTGAGCAAAAAATGTGACCATGTTGTGTCTTTTTACCAACTCCACAATGCCCTAAAATTCAAGAATTGGCTAAGTTGGATCGGTTTTCTAGGTACTTCTGTTCAGGTTGCTTCTCCAGTGAAGTTTTATAGAGGGTTTGCTGTTTCTTGTTCTGCTTAATAATGAGGTCCAGAATTCTGTTGGCTGTTTCAGTGAGATCTGTCAAGTTCATGGTTACATTGGAGATTTTGTTCTGCAATGGTATGATTGCCATGGGGCATTCTGTTGCTAGTTCTTAGGGCAGCTGCTTTAGTTGCTCAGTCTTTTCATTTAGCAGCTCCATCTATCACAAGTCTGGTGTGCTTGGACATCGCACTTGGGCCATCTTCTTCTTCTGATAGCTCTGAATCAGTGGTGGGCTGCCCTGATCCAAAATATGGCTTTAAGTCACTGAATCTAGATAAACCTAGCTGCATTCCATAGCTGAGGATCATATTTACTCTGCTGTTAATGCTGCTTTTTTGGTGGTGGAACCGAATAATAATAATAATAATAATATAACAACAACAACAACTTATTTATACCCCGCCCATCTGGCTGGGTTTCCCCAGCCACTCTGGGTGGCTCCCAATCAAATATTAAAAACACAATACAGCATTAAACATTAAAAACTTCCCTAAACAGGGCTGCCTTCAGATGTCTTTTAAAAATAGGATAGCTGCTTATTTCCTTGACATCTGATGGGAGGGCGTTCCACAGTGCAGGCGCCACTACCGAGAAGGCCCTCGGTGGTTGTTGTTTTCCCTGAGGTCAGGTTCTGCTGTTTTACTCTATTAGAAAATGAAATAGATTACTTCCCTTCCCCCATGGTCTTTCAATCTAACAATACATTGTAGCCTTTCCTTATTAAATTAGTTTTGTATAATTTCTGTTACATTCCCTTCAAGACCTCAAAAAGAGGTTTGGGAGATATGGAAACATATTTAAATTTAATCAATTAAAAACCAACCAATTGCTTGACATTCTCCTATTTAAATAGAGGACAAATGACAAATCCTTCTTCAATATGGCAAAATATTCCATACCTCTAATTTCTTAGGATATAAGGAGCCCCTAAGGATTTTGTGAGATAGTCTTAAACTCAATTACAAATCTCCATATTGCACAAGCACCTAGAGCTCCACTTACATTTTTTAATGCTGCAAGAAGTGTTGCCATTATTTTATTACTTTTTGAAATTCATTGGTTTGAGAGTTATATATGATGGGGAAACAGCAAAAAGAAGAACATCCGGGTGTGAATTAATGGAATGTCTTCTTTTTCTTTCATGCTGAATGATATCCATGAAGATATAGCATCTGCTGCCAGCTTGTACTAACAATTACGATGAAAAACAAACGCGCGTGGTAGGCAGCATGTCTTGGGATGGTTTGAACAGGACTGGTCTGCTTCAGGTTTCAGTATTTTTTTCAGGATAACAGTGTGGAGCACTTTCTTGTTTATAGGATAAACACAAGGGATGGAGTCTATCTGTGTAGCACAAAGGAGCGGCTGCCAACCCATAACATTGTGCAGAATGCAAAAATTCCACAGCTCCCTTCCTCTGGAGAGCTATACTGCAATCTACCTGCGTGAGGGTTATAGGGTAAACAGCATTTAAGTCATCAAAGTAGACAAGATGCCAGGTATATTTGGAACAATGTATTGGTTGGACCATTTCCCTGATTTCCAGCTGCAAGAGCCTAACCTGAAGGTAAATCTTCTTTAGAGCATTTCAGTTTAAAGGTATAGATTAAATGTACTACTTCTTTTCTTTTCTTCTTTCATTTAAACCAAATTAGAGCCATTACCAACATCTGGTTTTTTTACAGGCTATAAAAAAATGCTATAAGATGGATGCCTTGATTTTTAACTATTCTAAACCAATACTTTCCCCATGAAATTCAGGACATTCTATTTTGACAAAATGCTTTAGAAATATATATAATGATTTATGTATGATGAAGCTATATTACACACACACACCCTGTATCTATATTCCCCCTTTCATGTGCTTTTGGAAATATGAAACAAAAAAGAAACAAAAGCAACAGGAAATATAATTCCAATGTTTGAAAATAAAGCAACACACCTATTTGGACCGAAAAAACTATGTATATATGTGTTCACATGCACTCAAAAGAACTGTACTCCATGCACATTCTCAAAGTGATTGCACATATCAAATAATTTTGTCAGGAAGAAAGCTTTGGGCTGTGATATGAAATAGAATGCCATATCCCCATGGCAATTTGGGAGACATTATTTTATTACGTTTTAAAAACAAAGATGGAACAAGTACATTGCAAGATCCTCAGCTTAATATTATAATACAAGTATTTGGGCATAAACTAGTGCATGGGTCATCAAATATTACTTCATCAGAGTCAATTTAATTTGCATGGTACCTTACACTGTTTTGTTGAATCATATTCTTGACACATCTGAAAAAGCAGGTTATCTTTTCTTCCAGCAGAGTATCAACTCTGAATGCAGAAGTTATCAGAAGTCCTTGGAATTTCCAGCTAGGGCTAGCAGAGAGCCCTTTTAGATAACCCTGGGAAGATGCTGCCAGTCAGAGTAGTCAGTACTACGCTAAATAGGCCAATGGTCTGATTCAGTATCAGGCAGCTTCATCTGCTCCTATGTTCCATTTACATGTATGTAGAGATTCAGAGAGACAATCCTCTCCTCATACTGGGCATGTAAGTATTAGTATTTATTTGACTTGTCAGTCGCTTTTTACTCAAAGTTCTCTAAGCAACTTATGGCACATAGCAATCATTCTTCTAGAGCAACCAGAGTTTTAAAAATCTGCCATATTTGCGATTACAGTGGTACCTCAGGTTAAGTACTTAATTCGTTCCGGAGGTCCGTTCTTAACCTGAAACTGTTCTTAACCTGAAGCACCACTTTAGCTAATGGGGCCTCCTGCTGCTGCTGTGCTGCCGGAGCACGATTTCTGTTCTCATCCTGAAGCAAAGTTCATAACCTGAAGCACTATTTCTGGGTTGGCGGAGTCTGGACCCTGAAGCGTATGTAACCTGAAGCGTATGCAACCTGAAGCATATGTAGCCTGAGGTACCACTGTACGATGACTACTACCACCATCACCCTTGATATGTGATGATATTTGAACAGCAAGCAATTTTAAAGTAGTCAGAAGTATTAAGCAAGTTAATCACATTTCTCAGAAAAATACTTCTTTTAAAGGCCACTATTTGGTTGTGGGCCACACTGGGTGATGGCAAGTCTGAGGCTGCATGGATACATTGGAGGAATGGCAGATTGGCTACTTCCATACAGCTCTGACCTCAGTCCTGCCTTCACACTGCCCCAGTCCCATCCAGTAGTTCCACCTCACCACAAGCATCACTACTGGGTGTGGCCATACTCTATAGTTTACTTGGCCTGGTGATTAATCTAGCCCTGGTTCACCTGCTCTGGTTCTGGTTCACCAGAAGCGGCTTAGTCATGCTGGCCACATGACCCGGAAGCTGTACGCCGGCTCCCTTGGCCAGTAAAGCAAGATGAGTGCTGCAACCCCAGAGTCGTCCGCAACTAGACCTAACGGTCAGGGGTCCCTTTACCTTTACCTTTAAGTGAAACCATTGGTTCATCTACAGGCAAAGCTGGAAATAGGCCTAGGCCTGATGGGAAATGTAGGCCTCATTTAAATCATCTTTACCAAAGGGTCCCCCCCCCAGGGGAACTCAAAGTAGGCCCCCTCAAAATCATAGGCCCATTGTCATTTGGCCCACCTGCTCCCTGCCCTTTGTTCTGGCCTGTCTTTCTAATTGGCAATGGCTCCTGAGGGCTTCAGGCAGGAGTTTTTCCAAGTCCAACCTGGAGGTGGCAGAGGTTGAATCAGGGGCCTTCTACATGCAAAGCATGTGCTCTACCACTGAGCTATAGCCCCTTCCCTTCATATCAAAAATAGCCAGCCTTAACACTTCACATATATTTTACTTCCAAACACGAAAATGATTTTGTTAATGCATTCAATATCTCTGTTTCATGGCCACTCCACCCCTATAACCTGTTTACAAAAATACTACAGACCTAGGCCCAAGCGTCAGTTCTTGGAAACAGGAATGTTCTGGTTCATAAATTGAGTTATGTGACGTAGCTTAGGCAGCTCCTTAGACAAGTGTCTAATTCTGTGCCTTCAGATCGCTGAAGACATTGTCTTCTAAATTCCTTTGTTTTGTTCAGTTAGTGCTTCTGACTAACAGGTACAAGTCTATGAAACATCCAACAACTTCTGGAGATATATGACAGTGGACACACACTGTCTCTGAGATATTGGCATCAACACTCAAATGGGCAGCTGAGCCACACAGTACTTGTTATCTTACTCTTACAAGAGTTCATTCAATTATTAACTTGAAAAATGATAGAAATCTTTACATTCCATGAGTAAAGGCACTTCGACCTCATTGCAGTCTCTCTGTCATTATGCTTTGTGACCCTTCTTTTGGAACTTATTACAGTTAAAGTACCAATTGGTTTTGCTAATCTCCCAATTCCATCACTTCCATCACTGCTGAAATATTCTCAACTCCAAGAACTGTGAAGTCCAACTCCCAGGTGAGTTGAAACAGTGAGCATCTGCCCCCTTTGCTGCCCCCTTTCTAAGTCCATGTTCTATCATTTCCAACCGGATGTTATGCTGGGTTCATACCACTCAGATAAAGCTGTGTTGAACCTCTTGGCTGAGGCTAACAAAATGTGAAATGTGAAATAGGCATGGTTTTTAGAGGCAAGCATATGTTTTCTTATCATTATTCTTACACTATTCAGTTCTGCTGGAGTTTTGCTGCAGCTTATACAGACACACACAAACAGAACACAGCACAGCACTGAATGTATACATGACTGCTTCACAAGTAAGAAGAACAACTGTTACCAAAGGTGATTGCAAAAATGATTGTTTGTATGTGTGGCTCAGTAGAACAGCGGAAAGCTTAGTATAATCAAAACACAGCCTAGCCCAAGAGAGTGTCTGTGGGCGTACAATCCATCTTGATATATTCTTCATGCTAAATATAGTACTCAGATGGAAGAGTGTCTGGAAGCCACTGTGAGCATGATATATGTGGAAATAAAGGACAGGATTCACCTAATGTTCTCCATAAGCAAAAGTCCTGCAGTAGGATTTCTGTTTGCACAAAGGGGTCTCCCCCTCTTTGCCCTGCCATGTGCTCCTTGAAATGTGACTGGGGAGTGTTATGGGAGCGGACCCATAACACCATAAAGGGGTGGGGAGAGGGGAAAAATTCCACCCTGCAAGCTGCAGTGCTGGCAATAAGATGTAACATTTGTAAGAGTGCATTTAAACGTTGTTTAAAAAAACAAAAAACAAAGTACTTCTTCACAACATGAATGTAAGAAGTATTTTGCTTGATCAGACAAGGTCCAGCTAGTCAAAGGCTCCATCTTCAACAGTAGCCACCAGATCCATATTCCTAGGCAACTCACATGTAGAGCACAGTTGTGATAGCTATCTCCAGGGAAGCTTGCTTTTCAGCTATTAATGCTATTTGATTGATAAATCTATTGTTCATATATTGTCTAGACATTTTAAAGAGTCACTATTGCACCATGTAGTCATGAATTATATTACCGTAGTTAATGATGCACTGTTAGAAGAATAACTGATCCTGCCTTTCTTCAAACTATTGCCAGTTGATAATTCATGGTATCCCTCCAAGATGTACTTCCAATTCTTTTCTGCAGTTTAGCTTCTATGCAATTCCTCTGTCCCATTTTTGTCCCTTATTTCTTCCCACAGCAACCCAGTGAGGTAGGTCAGTATGATTCCCATACTGCATATGAAGAACAGATGCTGAGCAGATGTTTACGGATATGACTTAATGCTGAAGGAACAGTCAACATGATGGAGTTGAATAGGAATTTGAATCCATCCACTGGACCAGATATCTTCAACCTTTTCAGATCCAGCACTCACTTTTAACCCGCTCATGCCTTTGCAAACCCATTTCTTAACCTTCTAACATTTAATTGCATGGTGGTAGTGCTCCTGTTGTGACCCACCTTGAACCAGGCTGTGATTCAGTAGTGGGTTCTGACCCACCAGTTGAAGACCAGTGCATTGGACCATGCTGGCTCTCTATTACCTGATATACAGTTGTGAAATAGTGAAAAGGTTGGCAATAAGTAGTGACAGAGGGGTCTATTAAAAAATAACCCCTCCATAAACAGAGGTTTTTCTGTTATCTGAAGGACCAGCAGCACATTCCCTATTGCCATCAATGGCAAGGTAGAGATAGATTTTTATATGGATTTGTTTTTCAACAACTGAGTATGAAGAGTCCAGGTGGAGAAACGGAAAACTTTGTTCTGAAAAAGTACAAGACCCAAGACTGTGTGTTTGTATTTGATGCCTGGAGGAGCCATTTAAATACCAGCATAATTCTTCTTCTAAATGGTTGAATCAGGTCTATTGTTCTTCCACTGTGAACTCTGTGACATTAGGATTAGAGATTAAGGTTGAGCAGGATGATTCCTGTTGCCTTCCAAATGCTTAGGTTATTGCCAGATTTAGCACAGGAAATAATTTCTTTTGGTAGCACCTTGGCAATGTGTGTGGGAGGGTTTTCACTTGTTCTGTAGCACTGTTTCTATTGCTTATAATTAGTTTTTTAAGACGTGAATGTTCCAAGTGTGGTCCCTCAACCCACTGTCCCTCCAAATTACTCATGCAAGATATTGCTGTTTTTACAGTGTATAATAGTTTTTATTGAGGAGAATAGTGTGAGGATTCAGAGACATACTGGAGACCGCTTTGTGTTTTGGAAACAAACTTTCACAAAACACATTATTTGTGCCTTTCAAGAGCCATAAAGAACGCATCACTTTCCCAGGAACACAAACAACTGTGCTACCTGAACAGCACTATAAAATAGAACACAGGTACTGTACTGATAAAATTAATATGCTGCAGGCAAGAATCATAGAAAATAAGTGTGAATATACTAACTTTCTTATTGAATTTATCTCTGTTGGTATGGGCATATGTGAGCTTTTGGGGTAGCTGAAACTATTCAGAATAACCTATCTAACACTGGTTCTGAATAACTCAGAGGTTTCTTATATGAAGTCTTGTGCACAAGTTTTCTGAAGGTAGAGCGCTGGATGGAAAGTGTGTAATTTCCTTGGCTGGAGCACACAACTGGACAGCTCAGTTTCACTTGTCAGGGTTAGTATGAAAAAGTAACTGTGGTTAACTCCAGACGGGCAGCTTTTGCAGGAGGGATTCAAGCATATTGTGAAAATTTTGATTTGCACCATTAAAGTGGATTAAAATGCTCTGCCATTCTGGTGCAACAAATCAATTAAAACGCACACACACATGACTTTTTGCAGTTAGGAAGACAATGGGGAAATGAGCAGGAAAGTGTGAGAAGAACACACTATTAAGATGTATAACATCCTCACAAACAAATTTGAATCTCATAGAATTCTGTACAATTCAAATGCAGCAGAATTAGGCAATCTGTGTGCTATGGTTTGGCAACAATTGTCCACGGGGTGGGGGCAGGATCAACAGAAAATATCAGGTATGAGTTTTTCTCTTAGTATAATGCAAATAATTTTACCTTTTTGCAATTATTCCTGTCAAGTAATTTAGTAAAGTGGCTCCCAGTCCTGAAGTCAGTGAAAGCATTGTCATTGGTCTTGGTAAGTTCACTAGGTTCAATATATAATTGTGAAATAAAATACTTACTGGGTGCTGCAAGCAGCTGCTCTGAATTAAAAAAAAAAGATAGTGAAGAGGAAACACTAGAACTTGAAGAGAGAGTTGGAGAACTTTGCCTTTGCTTGTAAACTTATATATAGACTTTTCCCGTTTCTTGTAACAAGGTAAGAGTTGATACCTATCCCCACTCCTAGTTAAAATTTCATCTGAAGAACAGCTAGCTCAAACATCCAGATTCATTGTTAGCAAACTCAAATTTGCATCTTGCTGAGAATCTTTAATTGATCCCAAGTAAAAGACACTTCCCTGTCCCATCCATCAAATCCAGCCTGCTACTTCATAGTTTTTAGTTGCTCTTAATCAAAGGAGTATGTTCCTGTTTTTGAAATTTTCTTACTGTAATGGATCAATGCAGAGGTCTGTATTTTTTGTTTTTAAGTATCCTATTCCTAAAATGCTACACTGACCTCTAGAGGTTGGTGAACAAATTCTGTAACATGTGTTGAGCCTGACAGCACAATAAGTAAGTATCCAGCCCCATAATGACGAATTGTAAGATATGACCAATTGTAAGATATGGAGTGAGGGTGCCCATTGGCTCATTCTGGCAGTATATATTTATTCCAGGAATTCTGCCTCAGAGGAATTATGGAGACATGCTATGTGGATTAAATATGTCTACTTTGGCTGAATGATGAGCAAAGTGGGATGAAATAGAGGTTTGACTGCAAGCCTGGGAAGGCAATGAATGCAAAGGAGGGCGGGTTATTTAAGATGCTTATGTTAAACAAGAAAAGGTTTCAAAGCCCTTCAGTTGGATTCTTCTACTGTAAATGCATTGCTGGGAAAGGACTGGGAATGTCACTGGAGGGATCATATTCACATGTTTTATGAGGCCACTGAAGAATTACATTTAGTAACAATAAGGTTTGTATTATGATGTTTACATGCTTGTTGTATATTACCCTGTGCTCCTTTGAGGGTAAAGGGGGTTTATAAATCTCATAAATAAATAAAGTCCATAGTGTTGTGCATTTTTTTAAAGTATCTGATTTTTGAAATGCTACACTGAGAAAAAGACATTCAAAAGCCAGCTCCCCAAAGGTGTGACATGCACAAAGTGCAGTTAGAGGTTCTCATTAGGGCTGGACAATCTCTTCACCCAAGCTCTGAAGCAAGGCAGGCATATCTGAGTC